GCCAGGCGGAGGAATTCACAGCGAGGGTGCCAGGGTAGGAGCGGTTGCGTGGGAACGGCCCCATGTCAGTACCTCGCTTCCCCGTGCCACCGTCTGGGAGCCGAAGCAGCTGGATCGCAGTTCTGCAGACATGCCCAGCAGACTGTTTTAAGCTACCAGTAGAAGGCACGGGCTGGCCAAGGAAGCACAGAGGCTTCCTCTGACCTGGGGAAACCCTGGGAGTAGACCCTGTGCCAAGTGTGTTCGGTGAACATTCATGTTCTTAATCGTAAGGATTTTTGGAATCTTTCCATAAAGTTATCTTGTCTACCTCTCTCTGCCTCCAGACATATTTTCTCAAAGCAAAGTTGCATTCCTGAAAGCATCCAGATAGGTGCCTTTAAGCTTTCATCTTGACTGGTAGTGAAAAGCCAGAATTCACCTTTGCTCTCGTCTGTACAGCTCAGAGGTGCAGCTGAGCTAAAACTAATTTCTAGTTTCCCTGTGATCTATGGAGAAAAAAAAAAGGAAATTGGTTTCTCTGTAGAGTTTAAAAGATCTTCATCCACTGAAATTCATCTTTCACTTTCTTATTTATGGACAAAATGATTGTAAACCCTGCTTATAATCTCACCCTGTCTGGTCCCAGGCACTGTGTCGGGGGCTGGATAGAAATGTAAGGGGTGAGGGAAACCAAAGTGGACATGTGGACAATACCAGGAACCCAAACGCAATCAGTCTGCTATTTAGCAGATATTTCCCTGAGTCCCTTCTGTGCCATGCAGTATGAGAGGCATGGGGGAAATATGTACCCAATCTCAAGTCCTGCTGCTTTGGCCTTCTGAATATCTCCTGGCTCTGTCTGCCTCTGACATTCTCAGTCTCATTCTTCATTTCTGTTCTTATCCAAGTTGTCATTCTTTCTCAGCTGTCTCCAGGAGGGAGCATGCCCTCGGGAGTATGTCCCAGAGAGAGAGACCTGATTGAGGTGCTTCAGTCTGTAATGGAGAATCTGGATGGTGCGTCCCAGCCTCAATGATTGGTAGACAGATAGACACTGATATAGATGGATGTAGCCAGAACAATTGATTAATGAAGCAACAGCTGCCATTACTACATGTTTTACACTATTTTGTTTTGTTTTGTTTTATGGTGCTGGGGATCAAACCCAGGGCTTCATGCATGCTAGGCAAGCACTAGCATGAATTACTCCCCCAGGTCCTCAATTTGGTTTGATGTATTTTCATAGTTCTGGTCATGCACATTTTGAAAAATATCACGGGCACTCAGATCAATGGGGTTAGCATAAGATGCTGCGAAGCTCAAAGGTAGTGCACTTTTTTGCAAGTAGGAAATTGCAGACTGCCTCAGTAAAGGTGAGATTAACTCTAAGCCAAATTTGAAGAATGAGCCACCCTGCCTGCATGCCAGTCCTTGGACAGGGGTGTGGAGATGGTGGGGGGACTGTCTGCATTTTCAATGACCTCACTTTGGCTTGTGTACTCTGCTAGAAACAAATATATTTCGGTGACCTAGAAATGAAAGCGTGCTCCCTTCCAGCCTGGCCTCAGGCTAGCAGCTCGAGAGCTGTCTTGCTGTTTCTTAGAAAATAACAGCAATAACACAGGTGAGGGTTATGTGCCTATTTCAGACAAAACCGCTGTTTTTCTCTTGCATTCATTTTCGGAGGAGATAAAGGAAGGGCTAACGTACTGTACTACTTGAGTGAGTTGGATTTTTACCTTGATGTTGAATTATTTTATATGGAACTGAAATAGGTGTAGTTCTTAACCTCAAAGTGAGGTGGAATAAAAGAGAAGGAGAGACAAGTGTGTTTGCGAGCATGTCTGAGAATCAGACTGGCCCGGGCTCCCAGCACCCATGACCCCACCTGATCTGCTTTTTCCCATGGGGTACCATTCTTCCTTCTTTCTTGTGGACAGACTTTTTATGCTTTAAGATATTATCTGACACTAGATTTTGGGTCAGTTTTTTTTTTTTATAGATTTAGTTGGTTTATTAACTTTTGTTAATATTGATTATTTCAGGAGGAAAATAAATCTTAGTTTATGCTTTTATTCAGAAATGACTCAGGAGTGGCACAGGCCTGTTATCCCAGTGACTCAGGAGGCGGAGGCAAAAGGACTGCAAGTCTGAGGCCAGCCTCCGCATTTTAGTGAGACCCTGTCTCAAAATGAAAAATAAAAAAACTGCTGGTGATGTGGCTCAGTGGTTAAGCACCCCTGGGTTTAATCCCTGGTACCAAGAAAAAAGAAAAGAAATGACTTGGAGCTGGGAGTGATGGCACACACCTGTAATATCCCAGTGACTTGAGAGGCTGAGGCAGGAAAATTACAAGTTCGAGGCCAGCTTCAGTAACTTGGCAAGACCCTGTCTCAAAATAAAAAGTAAAAAGGGCTGGGATGTGGCTCAGTGGTAGAATTTCCCTGGGTTTTATCCTTGGTACAAAAAGGAAAAGAAAAAAAAGAAAGAATGAATGAACTCAGCAACTGCACTCTGACAAAACATGTCCTCCTATTTTTGTGGAGATATTTTTTTTAAACTCTTGTCTAGTGATTTTTTTTTATTTCTATAATTTATTTTTTAGTCCTTAGTTGAACAGGTATTTTAGATTCAAATTTAGATACTATCTATGTTTGTATTTTTAATTTCTCTTTGTAAGTGGAAATAAATTAAAATTGAGAGCAACATGTACTTTATATTCGCTCGTGATATAACATCCTCCCTCAGTACCTTGCCCCCAAATAGAACAAGAAGTTTAAAAAACTCTGATGTGAAGCAAAAGATGAACAGTTCAGTGTGTAATTCAAGTAAAATATGAAAAATTTGTTTAAAATAATCATTTTAAAATTTCACCAGTGAGGGTTTGTCAGGAGCCAGATGGCAGAAGTGGATAGAGGTGAAGGCGTCCTGGGAGACAGGCCTCGTTAGCTGTGAGATTTTGGCGTCACCTGTAAAAAGCCAGGATCGTTAGGCACCTTAGGGGCTGTTCTCCTCAATTTATTTGTGTTTTTGTCAGGTTGCCTCCTTAAAAATTCCTAATTGCAGCTGTGCTTCAGGTTTCTGATGACCTAAAGGTCAGTTTACTCCTAGCCATTCCCTTCAGATCCGCCTCAATCTGGATCCTCATTTGGTCTGATGTCCTCCAGTGATGTAGGGCTGCTTATGCTGGGCGGGTTCTTGGGCACTCCATAAGTATCAGGCTCTGATAACTCCGAAGCCTTCCCAATCCAGCACATGGGGATACCTGGATCTGGTACTGTGTTGAGGCTGCTGTTGTCCCCACCTGCAGGATCTCGCTGACTTCTCTCTGCTGTTAGATCCACGGAGAACTATTATTTCAGTTTGGAGGTGAAATTTAAAATGGAGGAAAAAAAATACATGCTTTTCTTTTTCACAATCATAGTGGTTACTAAAAAAGAAACAACAAAAAAATACCCTAAGTTCAAAAAATAGCAGATATTTTATTGATTTCAAGCCCCAGACGACCCCGGACCTTGCATTTGAAGTGTATTGTGGATTACTTTTCTGTCTCCTTGCTTCTTGGACCAGTACTGCCGTAAGCTAGTTCTGCTCAGTCTCAGGGTGCTGTTAGAAAGAGCAAGGTGGTTGTTCTACCCTTGTAACCAATTATTCACTCAGAGAAGACTCCCTGCATCTTAAAGAGTTAAAAATCTGAGTGCTGAGTTTCTCAAACTATATGTTGGCAAAAGTGCATCCAGCACTCCCACAGGAAAGAGTTTGAGAGGCAGGGCTGACGAGACTTGGGTATCAGGCCCCAGCTTGGACCAGGGAAATTCCAATTAAGGTTTTATTTCGATGAGAAAACTGAGATTTAAAAGGTGAAGGGACTTGTAGATCATGCAGCTGGGATTTGAACCTAGCTGATCTTAGAAACTATAATATACTACCTGATAGCACTGTAGATTGAGATCCCTACTCCAAAAATCTCAAGTTTTCCAAAATCTGGAACTTTTAGCACCAACATGATGCCACAAATGGAAAATTTCACACCTGACCTCATGGGATTGTCACCATCAAGACACAGGCACACTAAAAATACATAAAATTACCTTCAACCTGGGTGGAAGCTATACAGGAAACAAAGGGATTTCCTGTATAGACTGGAATCCCATCTCATTTATATATATGCATATATTCTGAAATATGGGAAAAATATCTGAAACAAGCATTTCTGATGAAGGATACTCAATTTGTAGTACACAAAATGTATTTGGGGAACCATATATAAAATGTGTTTACAAGTAATGGATCTGATCATCTTTGCTGTTATCAGAGTTGGATGTACACGTCAAGTTTCCTTAAGGAGTGAGCAAAGAGAAACTGTGGGATTGCCCTGCTCTTCACTGCTGTGCTATTTTCTTCTGATTCCTCAGTGTGGCTGCTGCGTTTGTTTTTGTTACAAAGTCCAAAGATGCCCAGTTGCAGGGAGCTGTTGCTAAAGCTCAGCACTGTCTTGGCCACTACTATGATTAATTGCTATTTCATTTTAGATCCCCTTCTAAGATAAAGATAAATGAACAATCTCAAGTGAATTATAGTAAAATTGAATACAGCTGATTTTGTTATAGTATCTAATATTAAGAATCAGGGCAACTAAAGTTTCTCCACTTGTTTCTTCTGATGGACATTCATGTGACCTCCATCCAAGCTGGGCTCCCCTTCCACATAAATCCACCTCTCACCCAAGCTCTTACTTACATTTTTGAGAGGAGCAGAACCAAATCGTTCAGCATTGCACTTTTTATTTAATTTGATACCCACTGCGAAAGTAACCCCAAAAGACAAAATGATGAGGAATGTTTTACAAAATAAATACTAACCAGAAATGAATCTTCACAACATTTGAAGTGTGTATGTGAGCGAATTTGTGTCCCCATTGACATACAGTAACATTGACCTTGGCAATTTTTTATGGTTGGAACAGAATGCTGATATTACTCATGAGAACTAAATCTTTTTTTTTTTTTTCTTTACAGGGTCGTCATGTCAAAACGGGCCAGCTGGCAGCCATTAAGGTCATGGATGTCACAGGGGTAATGTATCCTTATTGTCTCAATAGCTATATATTTCTAACAAAGTAGCTAGTGATAGAAAAAAATGTTTTATTAAAGATTATTTAAAATAATCTTTCTAAATATTTAAGATCCTTACCCACTTGTGCTTCTCATATAGAGTATGCAACAAGAGACTAAGGAGACCATGGATGAATCACTCTAATTAAATTCAGTACCTACATACTGCTGTAGGTAGTTAGAGTGAATAATGTGTGCCAATAATTTGCATAAACATAACCATGGATATTTGCATTTGAAGGCAGAACAAGGATTTCAAGGCATTAAAAGAATAATGCTGAGATTACACAGACGAGATGGGTCTTAACAGTTTCCCCAAAGGTCTACCTAACACTGGAGTAGACAAGAGCTTGGATAGCTCTAAAATCCTAGTAGGATATTTAACACGAATATTTTCCAAAACAAACATTGTTGACCAAATAATCATGTAACCACAAATTTTTATTTATTATAGAATAACACTGAAACAAGATGTCTTCATGGATGATCAAAAGCAATCTAAGGAGCAGGTTTTATTTTAAATGAATCTAATGCTTTTAATCCGTTTGCTAGATCTGTTTAAAATATTTTAATGCCTTTTCAAGAGTGCAGAGTGAAAATCAGACTTGAAAGGATTCACTGGACATCAAAAGCATGCTAATAATTTTTATTGTCCTGAGGATTTTTCTGAGATATCTGTCTGCTGTACATGAAAGCTAAAACACCAAAGTCCCTTTTGGCCGAGAAGTGGAATATTCAATATAAGTAGACACAGAGTGAATGAGTCACACAAAGGTATTGAGAACCAAGATACAAACAAGAAAAACACACAGTATGTCTGTAGGCCAGACTTTAAACCAAAGCTTTCCAGACCCAGTCTGTTACCTTTGATAAGTATATGTTAGAAGGCGATTACATACCACAATACCAATTTCACCAATTCTCATTAAACCACACATTGGGTTTTCTTTCCTTAGCTATTAACTGATATGAATTCCTCTTTAAATTATATTTAAGAAGTTAGATATAATTAATGAAAATTAAAAAAAATAATTAATAAAAGTAAAAAGTTTTGTTCCTATGTATATTACCACTTGGTTGAATTTCTACTTCTTTTTGCTTATCTTAAGTACATTATTCCAGTTGCAGAGGTTACAAATCAGTTCAAATATTTAATCTCAATTAGGTTTTGAATTCACTTTGCCTTGACTAGAAAAGAAATTGCATGTGGGTTATATTAATTAGGGTTATGCTCTCCCACTTGAGACAGGGGGTTAAGGATGTAGAAGAGTCTTACTCTCTCATGTCGAAGGGATCTGAAAGTTGACAGTCCAGGGATGTGTGGCAGCAGTGTGGTGGAGCAGAGGAAGTGCTTATTTTTCTGCCCTGTCATTCTAGCACAAAGCTCCCCTTTTTAATGTCACTCTGTGGTTCAAGATGGTTGTTGGATTTCCATTGATCATACTCTGTGACTGCAAAAACAAAAAAAGGCGGGTGAACTCAAGGATGCAGAAAGAGCCCATTCCAGTGAAATCTTTTCTACTTGGATACAACATCTTTGCTTCTGTTTCCATTAACTATATTTAGTTGCAAAGGAGCTTGGGAAATGTAGTCTTTTTAGTCTACCAATGTGTCCTATTAAAAATATAAGTTCTGTAGGTCAGAAATGAAGGGGGAGTGGACATTTGGGATAGTTCACTTAGCAGAGTCTGACACCAAAATCAAATTCAGATACTATAAGCCTTTGCCTTGAAACCCATTATCAGTTTGTAAATCTTTAACAAAAACCCAACCACAGAACATATCAGACTTTGTTTTGCAATTTTGCTGAAGTCATACTACTGTGTTTTCCTTGGATTGAATCAGATCTCCACATAATGAGATGTGCTTGGCAGTTTAACAACTAATGGCTGTGGATGGAGTCCAAGACATTCATGCTGTAGATTAAGTTCTGTTGTGTGGCTCTGCAGAACTACATTCGCGTTTCACTGACATCATTCATCTCAGTGCACAATGTTGTTGATGTACAAAGTTTGACTTGAGAGCATTGAATATTACTCTTCCAGTTTCTGGTTCTATTGGTGAGGATTTAAATTGTTCAGAGAACCACTTGCTTAGAGCTAAAAAAAAAAAGTCACCCAATAGTTTATCCTAGAGTGTGTATGTTCAGATTAAGGAAGGTCAGCCCTTCTAAACTGTGTTTCCTTACACAGCGAAATTCTACAGAAAATTATTTGAGAGTTACTTTCTCAGTTTTCCCAAGGCTGGTACAATACTAACACCATTTTACATGCCTGGGAGTGTCAACCCATTATGTACAATGGATGCTTTATAGTATTTGGGTTCAACTCTGTTGGAAAACCCCTGTTCAGAAAGCCAGGGAAGTTTCTGGGATAATGACATTATTGACTATTATTTAACCACTGATTTTGAACAAAGGCAAATATGGATACACACCAGGAAATGGTTCTCTTATGTCCATGGTGTCTGATGGGCATCAGGTGACTTTTGTATCATCCCCTTACGTATCACAGTCAACATAAGATTTCCTTTGTGAAATTCATGTGGGGCCTTTGTAAAACAAGCAACTCCATTTTTCCACGTTGTCTTTTGTGTACGATGGAATGCTGCAAAAGCTTCTTACCAATTATCATAATTGTGCTCATTATAGCTGCTCTGTTAAAAACTGAGATGAATTCTCAAAGATCATCTTTGTTGATTGTATGCTGTGACCTACTACACACTACTATAGTTTATTTTAATGAAATTTATGAAGTCATAGCTTGAAATTAATTTTTAAATTATTGTTTCTATTCAATGTCACTTCCTTTTTTTATAGAAACCAGCCACAGAGAGAATTGGATACAGTGCCTTTATCCTTCCAGCCTGAGAGCTGAGGCCCTTCCAAATTGGTTGGCATTTGCTTCAGAATTACTGCTTACTCTTGGACTTGGTTTAGAAGTTCTTTTAGTTCCCCCAAATCATTATGAAAATCTCTTCATTTCATTGCTTTATGGAGCTTCCTTCCCTGCTGGATTTGTGTTCTCTAGATTTATCTACAACAGCTAAGAGGAATCAGACTTCCAACCTCAGGGGTGCTGGTCAGGAAACACTCAGATACCTAAGCCTGCTGCAGAGGGTGCAGCCTCTGAATCTGTCTTTTCTATAAGCTCCTCAAGAAGGCCCACACATCCCAGAGTTAGAGATCCTTTTCCTGGATTTTGTATTAACTCTTTTCTGGACACCAAGTGTGAAGAGCCTGTGGTTCTTTAATAATCTTTTAACTAATCCCCATTTTCATTTGAATAAAAAAATCCCTGAATCAGCTAGTCCCTTTACAAAGAAAACCTAAAGTACACATACTTAGTGAAATAATTACTTGACATTGTAAGCTTTTACCTTTACGTTTACTGGTTATGATTACATTACTCAGAACACTTTGGAGTGTGCGGGGGCGGGGGGGGGGTGCAAAACTTTTCTCAACCTGATGAAGCTGAAATGGAATTTACTGGCTTGTATACATTAAAACAAACAAACACATGCTCACAAAAATTCAGCAGGATCCAGGAAGTCACATGATATGATGGGAAATTTTGTCTTTGTCCATCTCTGGGCTCTGCTTTCTTCCCACCCCCAGCTCCAGGCTCATGTTCTCATGACCTCATTGTCATTAGTCCCAGCACAAGTGTCAAATCTGAGTATCCGTGGCCTCACTTGGGTCATGTCCCCATCCCTGAACCCGTCTGTGATTCTTTTTAGCCAGATTTGGGTTAGCTGCCTGGTTCTGGAATCTACACAGGGACTAAGAGTTAGGGAGAACTCATCCCTCAGAGAACTGTTGCAGGAATGAGTGGGCAGGTGTGTGGGTGTGCAGAAATCAGATTTGGTCCTTAAGTAAATTCTCTCTTGTCCTCTTTTTTATATCTAGACAAAAATAATAATTATGATAGCTAACATTGATGGAGTGGTTATTATACAGTAGAACTTCTTGAAATACTTCGTGTACATGAATTCATTTAATCCCCTCAACAACCTACACAATGTGTTCCGTTATTAGTCCCATTTTAGAGATGTGGAAACAGGACATATTAAGTATCTTGCTCCATGTTACATGGCTCTTCTGGGGTATGGTGAATATTTCAGCCTGAGAATTTTAACTTCATCCTCTCAGCCACATTGCTATAGGCCTTCAATTAATATAGAGTGGTATTTAGTGTTTCATTTAGTGTGATTCCTTTTTGATTGGTTTATTCAACAAATATCTACTAAACACCTACCTAATGACAGACAAGGAAAATTTAAAGATGAACAAATGATCCTTTGCCTGCAGAGGAGCTCATGATAACACAACTTGACTATAAATGTTTTAAAGGAAAGTTATACCTTTTGCAATAAAGTTACAAAACTCATAAAGAAGGTTACTTATCAGGTTTGATAGGGTAGTCATTACTGCCAGCCCTGGAGAGTAACCAAGGAAATAAATTTCTGGCCAAGGACACAGGATGTGCCAAGGCATGGAGGCTAAAGAAACATGTTCTGAAAGCCGTACACCGCTTAGTTTTGATGTTGAAAACTGCCAACAAGAAATTGATACAAGAAAAATCCAGACAAATCATGACCAGGTCATGAAAGAATTGAATACTGTAACAAGGAGTTTACAAGGTTTTCAATTTTTTTTTCCCATACACCACTTTGATCAAATAGTCTTGGGGAAACCCAATAAATAAAAGAGACATACAGGTTGGTTTGTTTGATTGCTTTACTGGGGTTAGGAGGCCTTAGTACTGGCCCTTTTCCCCAAACCACTGCGGCAGCCAGTGCAGGGCCAGAGGTTGAACAGCAGCAGAGTCACATGGTTGCGTTTTGCCTGCTAGAAGGATCTGTCTTAAGCCCTGTTTGTGAGTTCAGGCTTTTGTCTTACTGAATTGTTGTAGGTGAAGCCCATGAGCAGTCGTCTCCATCTCTTATTGAAGAGTAAGGAT